CCCAAAACCCCAAAACCCCAAAACCCCAAAACCCCTATTGGAGGTGGTAGAGGCGTAAATATGAGGTATGAATGTTATTTCTAAATTAAACTATGATTAATCTCTATTATCGTTCCTAACCCCGACAATAAACAGAAAGACTCCCCAAAGCCCCACTTCCCACCCCATAAATCTCAACCAAACCCCCAACCCTCCCCACAAACAACATATTTTCCTTCTCTTTTCACTAAATCTCACTTTCCCCCTCTAGAGGTCTCTAAACCCCTCTTTTAACCCTTCCTCTGTTCCTCCTTAAAACCTGGTTCCTACTGGTCCTCTTCCTTGGCTTTCAAGTTAGCAAGCTCATGGTCAACTATATTGTAAATGGAGCTGACAGCCATTTGTTCTATTTCTCGATGATGAGAGACGTCGTGGTGGGAATGAATTAGTGATTTGAAGTCGTTGGAGACTGAGTTATTGTGGGGTGGGGTTCTTTTGGTAATTATATCTTTTTCATAGTTGATTGAGTTTTCTTTGCCACTAGCTGGGCCTACTGGAGCTTCAGGGAATTCTTCATTATGATTAGAGAGTTTTTCAGAGAGTTTAGAGTCTTCTTGCTGAGCTTGAGGAGGTAAACCAGGATTATTTGCATTTTGGACTATAAAATTATCATGATACTACTTCATTAAAATACAAATTTTAGCAATCCTCAATAACAGATTTGGTCAAAAACGCTAAAACAACACAAATATATGACTCCAAAGAAGTTTACTAACACCCAAGCTCTAAAACAGGCTACTAAAACCCACAAAAACCTCTCTTCCCAATCCTCCTCCTTCAATCCTAAAACCCATCCTAAAGCTTCCAAAACCTCCTAATTCTCCCTCTAAAACACCTTTAACTCCCTACCTTCCCTCCAAAACCCCCTAAAACCTCTCTCCCACTCAAACCCAGTCCCTCTACCCCCAAAATCCCCTACACAGCCCTCTCTCTACCCCAAAAAGCCTAAAACTCTATCTCCCCAGCATCTTACACATCATCTCATACGCTTCCATCATTTCCGAATTGGTCTGCCTGAGCTCCTTAATCTCATTCAGAATCCTAATGACGTCCATCTCCTTGTACAGGAGTCTTTCTGCTTGTACAAATTTAGAGAGCTTAGAGGGAGAGGAGGGTTTATTTGTAGTTAAAGCAGCAGAAGGATTTTGAGATAATGTCTATGAAGCTGTATTTAGCCACGCTTTGGGAAGTGACTGTTCGGGAGCGTCTGGTTTTTAAGGGATTGGGTTTTATGAGGTTTAGGTTTGGAGTGAGGATTTGGTCCTTGGATTCGTTGATTTTGTCATCGATTTCAGCCTTCATTTGTTGATAACTAGTGTTTCGGGCTTGGTCGTGTTTGTCTTCTTTGGTTTCTTCCTTTAGTTTTTGGTTATCTGATGCGATGTTGTTAAATTCTTCAGGCTTAGGTATCCCAGCTGGCGGGCCTTGTCTGGCAGTTTTAATAGTGTTGATCAGGAAAGCTGACTTTATATTTTCAATGAACAGCCCAACTATGCTTCTGAATATAAGATTTATGAGGTAGATGAATCCTCCAATCTGAGAAAGCAAGGTGAGAATGAAGTAATATTTATCTTTGTTCATCTCTTCTTCAGTCACTTTAGTCTGATTTGACATTGTGTCATCTAAAGAGCGAGGCTCATTGTTGAGATTTCTTGTATCTGATGAGCCATCTACAACAACCATATCAACTTGTGTAAACTTTTTCTTCTCTGGACTCATCACTATATTCACTCTGGAGAGAACTGGAGAGTCTATATTTAAATCAGCACTTTGTCTACGAGGAATTAAATTATCTGCTATATGGAATAAAACTAAAAGAAGTGCCAAGTCATTGCTTAAGTGCTAATTTAACATCGCAAGTCTTGATTGGAATCTGTCTTTTCAAGTTTCTTAAACTTTTTTAATCTCTCCACGGGTTTACCTCTTCAAGGTCAAGTGAATGTATAAATATTCTGCAAATTCAAAATTGCATCCCTCCATTTGAGGTAAAGATTAGAATATTCTTTAAGGTTTTCTACTTTAGTTATTTTTTAATCTTGACTGAACTTGAATCAAACAAGTTTTTGAATGCTACAGCTAACTCATAAACACTAAAGCAAGGTTGACTAAGATATCTTATCCCAGGCTGCTCTGCCAACAGAGTGCTAAGGTAAAAATAGCCCGCTTGAGGGCTAAGTTTCTAGAAGGATTTTAATGGGTCAAACCTAACTGAAAATGCTTATAAAGATCTTTACTGAATGTAAGTATTTACAAATTATTAGTCAAGCATAAAGCTATAAATAAGATGTTTATTGCTTGGATAGCTTAAAGTTAGAACCACATTGATGATAAAACTGTTAGTTTGGGGAATGCCAAGAGAAAGCTTTGTTTTCTTACCCAAGGATGGACTCATAAATTTCTCTTCAAGGCCTGGGATTGCATCGTAGAAGGTCTTAGTAGTTCCATTTAGGAAAACCACCTCATTCTCTCTGATGTAAATTGTCTTTGAGTGATATTGAGCCGATCTAGATAAAAATAGAAAAATGTCTTATTTTTGCCAAATTGGAGATTTAAAATTGATGTGATTATATGCTAGGCATAAATTTATACAAAATAACTATCTCAAAGCTTACATTAACATTTAAAAAACCATAGCCACAGATCTAATCTATCCTCAATACCTTTCAAATAAGTTTTAATATCATAATTCTAACCAATTCTTTAAAACGTGGCTTAAGAGCCTGAGAGGTTATAGGTACTGTACCCGATTTCGAGAACGTCGATCAGAGAGATATACTCTTTAATTGGATTATCAGAATCAGTCTCGTCATAGTAGCCATTGTTGACATACACCAGGAGAGACTTTCCCTTATGGAAGATTTCAGAATTCGCTTTTGTCTCTCAATCACCTTCAGTACATTTGTAGTATATAAACTCAGGGATTTTGCGTTCGTTTGAATAGAAATCTCCCTGAACAATGAATGGGGCTAAGGCTAAACATGTGCTATAACATAGATAAGATTTTGGGAGGAAATATCTTAGGGTTCTTTAAGAAGTGTATCTTCCAATTTCTAGAAAATTAATGATGTATACGAACAAATCGAAATTTTATCATTTTAATAAGTTACTTTCAAGGATAGAGAAGAAGCGAGAATATCTTCAGCTAACTCGGGCATCACTAGTTTGTTATAAACTCAGGGTTTGTAAATCTCACAATGTTTATGCCAGAGTTTTATCTGATTTTTCTAAGTAATAAACTTAATTTTTGTAAAATATTTGTAGTCCTCGCACATACCTAACACTGATTGGATAGTGGAATGCTCTTTGATGATCCTGTAGATAAAATGATCCTGGAGTTCAGATCTGTGTGTCTAGAGTATTGGTTACTAAGTCTTCACCATCGGATTTTGTGTGATAGAGTCCTCCAATACCTCCATATTTTGGGTCAACCTCAAAATTTGGAAAGACAGATATCCCAAATCCATTACTAATCAACGAATGAGAAGCAGGATATTGAACTCTAACAAAGTCATTGTATGTACTTGAAACAATAGTTTTAACTGTTGTATTTAAATTTAATCCTGAACAGTTTGAACCTGTAGTTGTGTTCGTGGAGGATATGTTAACTTCGGTTATTTTATTTCAGCTTCATTGGCTCATCTATCATGACGTATATAAAACCAATGATACAAAAAACTGCCAAGATTGTGAAAACTCCTCCACAGGCTGTTTTAAATTTGGATCTTCCATGATTTGTGAATGTTATTGGACTTCCATAAGCATCCACAGCTTCTAGCATTCTTTCTGCTTTCGGCATACTAATTCTATATTTAAATATAATAAACTTACATTTACTCATACCTTTATCCTCTTCGGCCATATTCCACTACATCAGTAACAAATTCCCTCAAAACCAGTAAAATTCCAACACCTCAATAAAACAGCCTCTCATCCCCCTTCCTATTATTCCTCACCGCCTATCTCCAGGTCCTCCAGGCCAAACTTCCCCTCTTGAGTGCGCAATAATTTTTTGTTGGCCAAGTGGGTGAGAAGGGAAGATTTAGGGGGAATGGGGCTAGGAGCTGGGAGTGTGAGGGGGAAATTGGGATTAGAGAGTGGAGAGAGGGATTTGGAGGGGAGGTGTGGGTTCTGAAGGGAGATAGGAAGAATTTTGGGTTTTTGGGATTTTGGGTTTTTTTAGTGGAATTTTAAGGTTTTTTGGACTCTTTTTGGGGTTTTGGGGTTTTGGGGTTTTGGGG